GCACTCCTCCACCCCCACCCCCTAGATATCTACATGGCTTGCTTCCATCAGCACTTGCTATCCCCCTTTCCTGTCTTATTTTTCTCCTTGACTCTTCTTTATAAGGGTCAGGTCCTTATCTTCCTCAGGCATCCTGCTTACATGGCCCTCTGTCTACTCGTGATCTTTCTGTTGGGTGAGCCTCCGTGCACACAGCCGTGGGGTAATCACTGGGACAATGGGGACACCAAAGAGATGCATGCCCACTCTTGATTTGTGGAGGGGGTCCTTGTGCTGGTCACATGGGGGAGGGGCTGTGTGAGAAGGAACCTGCCCTGCTGAAGTTGTTTATAAGGAAACATCCTACCAGGCTCCAGGCTCCTAATGGAATGTGTTATCTGAGCATCCAGCCTGCCCTTAAAGACCATTATCTCTCCCTCCCTCCAACAGACCACCCGGGCAGAAGCCTGTATATCAGTGAGACCCCTCCCTCTCCCTCAACGTCCCTCCCTGCCCTGCCTGTTCCAAGGGACTCTGCCTTCCGTCCGCCCTCACCAGAGGGACGGGTGTGGGTCTGCCACTGAATTCTGACTCCGGTCCTTTCGACAAACACAGCAAGTAGTTCTCAGGGAACTACTAGGCCAGGCGCCGCCCGCATGCTAACAATGCGGTTGTGGCAGAGATGCGGGTCCCTGAGGATGTCTGCTCCGGTTGTGGCAGAGATGCGGGTCCCTGAGGATGTCTGCTCCGGCTGTGCCCCGGGCCCTGGGGGTGCGGGAAGCAGATCCCATCCCACAGCTGCCTGGAGGACTCAGTGGCTGCATGGGAAGCCCTTCGTGCTGGAACCAGCAAAGGCCCAAGCAGGGTTTGCTAATTCTTATTGCCATATTCTCCCCGGGGCTAATCTCTCCGATTAACCCAACTTCCCGAGTGGTGGAGACACTGTCCCAAAGCTGCCAGGGCCACCAGCCCTTTGCTGGCTCCAGAAGCCTTAGGTGTCCAGGGTGGGGCTGGGGGCGCTCACCCAGGCTGCTCCCCTGCGGCTGGCTCCGTCTCTCTCCTCTGCACCAGCCGGTTCCACAGACCCTGTGGCTCCTCGGCACGTCGTGCCTCCGAGCTTGCTGGGACTGCTGCCCACCTGCCCCCTCCTGCATCTGGCCGCGCACCTGGGGAGCACATGCAGGGACCTCAGGTCTTCTCTGGCCACTGGGGGTCCAGGCGCTGTGTGAGCAGGCCCCTGCAGCCCAGCAGTGCGGCCCTGACTGCGCTTGGGCTGTGAGAGCTGGGGGGTAGGGGGGCACCCGGGCCAGGAGCTGCGGCGGGCGCTGCAGGGACAGGACAGTTGGGAAAGGAGTCCAGCGTGCTGTGTGGGGGTGCTGTGGTCTAGAGCCCTCAAGTGTTTCCTCATCCACATGGGTTTTTTTAATTGCCCTTTGCAGTTCATGCACCTCATCTGCTCTGTTTGTGACCTGAGCAGAGTCTATCCACATACTAACTGGAATTTATGGTGAAACAGTCAACCCTCAACCCTATGCAGGTAAATTATCTGCTTTACGAATATCCCCAGCAAATTGTTAATTACAAACCAGGATGAAAATGAAGTTCAGTCCTTGTCTACAAAAAAATATAATTACAAAGGTAAGTCTGTTGACAAGGAAAATAAGGCAAACTCAAAATGCATGCAGTCTGATCTACTAGAAATTATTTAGATTGATTTGTTTACTTCCTTTAGCTTCAGTAAGCTGAAGTTTAGCTCCACTGAACAAAAATTACTGAGTGTGTATCACGCACAACACATGAAGGGGCCGCCCTCATTATCTGAAGTGTACGAGGGTCGGCGGGAATTGCAATTACGATTTTCTCAGAAATGTCAAAAAGACAATGAGGCTTGGCTCATTTCTCCCTTACTTGTCAAAAGACCCCTTTCAATTGTATTCGGCAAAATGAACCTCTGTATTTTGTTAAAGGTGTGTGGCTGTCTCTACGAAACGCATGAGGTGCAGGCCCCCCACCTCCGCCTCCAGAGGGAGGGGACGTCCCTAGGACTGGACCTTCTGAATGTCGATCCATTCATTGTTCTACTGCATAGTCTTCCTCACATACACTTTCCTTGACAAACTCCTGAATATGAATTTGGGGGCACTCTATTCCCACACAAGCATAGTGGGATTTTATAAATACTTTAAAAAGAGTTGTAACTGGCAAGCCTGACATTTGCAGAGAGGACCATTGGCCTTCTCACAGTGGGACTCCCCACAGCCCAGCCTTCACTCAAGTCTGCAGGGCAGGACCCAGGCCCTCTGCGGCCCACTCACCCCAAGAAGAAGCAAAGAGACATCTGTGGGGAGGAGAAGCTGTTTGCGATGCCAAAATAGGCATCCAAATGGAGCCCAGTTTCTGGGTTGCCCTGGCCTGACCTCTAAGAAGTTTGGGGTGGGGTGGGGGGTGGGCTGTGATGAGGGGTTTGAGTCAGGGACCTGGGAGCTTCCCGGGTTTGATCCACTGCCCTGTGTACCCATACTGTGTGTCTGGCTCCCTTACTCCCGCCCTGTTTATCCATTTCTGAAACAGAGCGTGAAGGCATGAAGCAGAAAAATTAGGAACTTTGGCCTTACCAGCATCCCCTTTGCACTGCCCCTGCTGACCCCCATTCAAAGTTGGGAATATCATGTTCTCTCCTCCCACCAGTCTCTTCTGAGGGAAGGATCAGGCTCAACACTTCTATTACCGTGGACATACTTCTCTTAGAATCATCTGCATTTGAGTGTGGTTGCTAGATCCCTTGGGAATATGAGGGCAGCTGGTTTGGGCAGGGAACCCTGGCACCGCATACAGCTGGCCCAGGGGACAAGGGCTCTTAGCCTCTTGCCAAACCAGACTCCCCCCTAACTCCTAACGTATACCAGTGGGTCCTGGAGGGCTCCAGAGAGTCAGATTCAGCTCTGCTGACCAGGAGCCTGAGTCAGGAAGGACGTGGGCATCTTGGCTCTCCCCCCTCCTCCTACTTTCCCACTGCCAGCAGGAGGCCAAGAACACAGGGAAAAGTCCATGGGACCACCACACCTGTGCGCCCAGGTGACTAATGTCTAGACAGCAGGCTTCCTTCGGATCAAGAGGGTGACACTGCAGGCTAGTCAACAGAGAGAGACTTGGGTGCGGCAGAACCCAGGGCTTGCCCCCTCCCCCTTGGCATTTTCTGGTCTGTTTTATGTGTGCCCTTTGCCTGCCCCTCGGGGGAACTCGCCCTCTCCAGCGGAGCACCTCTCGCGGCGCCAGGATCCATGCAAAGCTCCTCACCCGGGGCTCGCAGAGGCCAGGCTTGGGACACGCGGGAGCACCAGCCCCGCACTGCAGCGGGGTCGGGGTGGATTCGGGCCAGCAGCCGTTTGGGACCTGGTCCCCAGGTGTGAAATGAGGCGTGGAGGAGATGTTAGCTCAGGTCCCTCGTGGCCATGGCCGGTGAGGGTAGCTGCGAGGCCAGAGCCAGCCAAGGTTCAGAGGGCAGGGGTTCTGCGGCGGCCAGAGCCGGCTCGCCAGGCCGGCGCCCGCTCTGCGCCCGGGTCCCCGCGCGGCCGGGCGGTCCCCGAGGAGGTCGGGGGCGGGCGGCGCGGGGCGGGGCGGCGGGGGGCGGGCTCGACCGGCGGGCGTGTCTACCTGGCGCGCAGGGAGCCCGGGCGGCGGGGCGCGCGCCGCGAGCCAGCGAGGACGAGCCTCCGGCCCCGGCGGCCCGCGTCTGCCTCTGCGGAAGGCGGCGCGGGCAGCTAGCTCGGACCCGGCTGCCCGCGCGTGGGGCCCGGGCTGCGGGGCGGCGGCCTGGGACCCGCGGCGCCCCTCGCGGCCTCGGGGCGGCGAGCGCGGTGAGTGATCGGGGCGGGGCGGCCCGGGGCTTTGCTCCGCGCCCCGGAGCGGGGCCCGCGGGCGGCGGGCAGGCGGCCGCCGAGGCCCCCCTGCGAGCGGGTGGGCGCGGGCGTGGACGCCGGTCTGGAAACCCGACGGGCTTCCAGGTGCGGCCTCGGGAAGGGCGCGCGGCCTGGGGGTGTCGGGGGTGGGCTTTAGGGGCGGAGGTGACACGGGCAGAAGAGGCGGCTCCGGGCGACCTGGAGGTGGGTGCTGGGGGCGAGCCGAAGGGCGCGCTGGGGGTCCCTGCCGGCTCGCCGCGGCCCCACCCCGGAACGAAGCAAGTTTCCCTGCGATCACGGGGGGCGGTGACAGGAGCCTCGCCTGGCTTCCGCCTTCGCGGGGCCTGTCCCAGCGCCAGCGCCAGCGCCAGCGCGCGGCCCGCAGCCCCCTGCAGCCCCCTGGGCCCCCCCTGCAGCCGCCTGGGCCCCCCTGCAGCCGCCTGGGCCCCCCTGCAGCCGCCTGGGCCCCCCTGCAGCCCCCTGGGCCCCCCTGCAGCCGCCTGGGCCCCCCTGCAGCCCCCTGGGCCCCCCTGCAGCCGCCTGGGCCCCCCTGCAGCCGCCTGGGCCCCCCTGCAGCCGCCTGGGCCCCCCTGCAGCCGCCTGGGCCCCCCTGCAGCCGCCTGGGCCCCCCTGCAGCCGCCTGGGCCCCCCTGCAGCCCCCTGGGCCCCCCTGCAGCCGCCTGGGCCCCCCCTGCAGCCGCCTGGGCCCCCCTGCAGCCGCCTGGGCCCCCCTGCAGCCGCCTGGGCCCCCCTGCAGCCGCCTGGGCCCCCCTGCAGCCGCCTGGGCCCCCCTGCAGCCGCCTGGGCCCCCCTGCAGCCCCCTGGGCCCCCCTGCAGCCGCCTGGGCCCCCCTGCAGCCGCCTGCGCGCCCCGCGCCGGTGCCCTGGCGGCGCGCCCGCCCCCCTGGCCCGACGCCAGGCTGGAGGCCCCCAGGGTGTGTCCGCTCTGCGTCCCTGCGCTGGCCCCCCGCCCCCCGCCGTGGCCCTGGGGCCGGAGGGATGCCGGTGGCAGCTCCACGGTTCTTTCAGGATCCACTCTCGCCCTCCGTTTCGGAAGGTGGAGTGCGGTTTGCAAAACGTTTAAGTTTCTCTGCGGATCGCAGCGAGACTGGCAGGAAGTAGGCGCGTTCTGGTTCCTGTTCACTGTTTTCCAGTTGCGACGACGTGAGAATCAACAGCATGTGTGCACCTCAGCTCTGCATCCGTGGCAGGCGCTTGAGGTGGCCAGGATGTATGCTGAGGGGTGTAAGCATGGTTCGGGGGGGCCTCTGGCTGACCCAGCAAGGGACACCCACACTGGGCTAGAAAGAGTTTTTCAGAGGAAGGGGAGTGTAGGGAGCACCCTATCTAGCACCTGTGGTTATTTGAGATTTTAACTCACCAGGGTCAGAGGGACATTTTACAGGCCATGGCCCACAAGTCAGGGGCTGGCTTGGGACGACAGGCTCACCGGCGGGTCACTTGTGGGTGGTGGCGGGGCCCCCTTGGACATTACTACCTGGTGCCCGGAGCTGGGGAGCCTTGAACAGAGCAGCCCTTCTTGAAGGGTGGCCCAAGTGACCTGCCGGAGGCCGTCAGCCTGATAACATGTTTCTGCCAGACGAGGAAAAGGGCCCATCAATAGTTTTAAGTGGAATAAACAAAAACCTGAAGGGAAGGAATCTAGTTAAAAATTACCATACAATGTTGGTTAGCGAGAACTCTCAAGAATTTAGCTATTCTGAAATGACTACTTTCAGTAATCGGAGTCGAACAAAATCTGTTTGGTTCAGATCCACTTTGAAAATCTTTCTAATGTACCACACTTCTGCCCAAAGATGAGAAAGTTTAAGACAAGGTGCTTGCTCTGTGATTTGACATTGAATCGCTGCTCGGTGGTTTGTGAAGGTCGGGTCTTGCTGCCAAGTCCGCGGAGACAGTGACCACACAGTGGTGGAGGATGTCATGGGAAGTGGAACCGGCAGCAGCCTGCTCTGTGATTTTCTTGCCACCTGAACTTTTTTTAAATGTTAGTCGGATCATGTGGTCACCAAGAGTCCGGTCAGGCAGTTCCACCCCTGGGTTGTGCATGCTGTCCTTTTCAGCTGCAGCCCACGCCCTCCCTTCTCCCTCCCCAAGCCCTTGGCACCACTCATCTTGTTTCCCAATTTCTATAATTTCATCATTTCGAGAATGCTGTATAAACAGAGTCATGCAATATGCAACCTTTTTTGATCGGCTTTTTTCACTAAGTGCAATTCTCTTGAGATCTGCTCAGTTGAGTATATGTTCTTTTTTCATTCCTGAGCAGTATTTCGTGGCACGGAGGCACTGCCATTCTGGGTTTTTGTTTTGTTTTGTTTTAACCGTTCACTCTTCGAAGGGCACATGGATCGTTGCCAGTTTTTGGTTATTGTGAATAAAATGGTGTTGAACATCCACGTACAGGTTTTTGTGTGAGCATAGCTTTCGTTTCTTTGGGAAGGGATGCCCTACAGTACAGTAAGGTAAGCACATGTGTAGTTTTGTAAAAAACTGCCTTTCTCTTTTCTAGGAGGGCTGCACTATTTTGCATCCCACCAGCAAGGTGGGAGTGACCCAGGATGTGCACAAACTTGACAGCATTTGGCACCATCGCTAGTTTTTATTTTAGCTGTTCTATCATGAGATGTATGGTGACATTGTGATTTTAATTTGCATTTCCCTCATGGAAAATGACGTTGAAGATTTTCATGCATGTATCTGCCATCTGTACATCCTTACAGTGAACAGCCGGTTCGTGTCTTTGCCCATGTTCTAATTGGGCATTTGGTCTCGAAAATTCTTTCTATGTTCTAGACATTGGTCCCAGTGGTTGGCACTCCTCTTATGAATAAAACCTTACTTTCCTTCTTTTATTTTCCTTCATTTATATGTCTTCCATCTTCTCCCCAGGGTTTTTGGTAGAGAGAAAGTTTTTCATTTTGACAAGATCAGTTTACTCATTTTCCCTTTCATGGATTGTGATGGACCTCTCTGCCTAGCCTGAGGTCCTGGAGATTTTTCTCCGTTTTTTTTTTTTTTTTCTTTGTATTATACTGTTGCATCTTAGACCTAAGTCTGTGGTCCATTTTGAATTAACTTTTGTATAAAGTGTGAGGTGTAGGTTGAGGGCTTTTCATTTTGCTTTGGTTTATTATTGCCTAGGAGTATCCTGTTGCTCCTGGGCGGGCTGTTGTTGAACAAAAGATCACTTCTCACTTGAGTTGCTTTGCTCTGTTGTCAGAAATCATTTCCACATATTTGTGTGGGTCTAGTTCTGGGTTCTGCATTCTGTTCCACCCATCCAGGTGTCTGTCCCTCCATCAGTACCACACTGGCCTCATTACCTTAGCGGTACAATAAACCCTAACATTGGGTAGAGTGGGTCCTCTTACTTTGTTTTTCTTATTAAAATCGTCGTGACCCCTCCAAGTCCTGCACCTTTCCGCACAAGGGTTAGAATGGCCTTGTTTATGTCTACAAAACTTTCAATGGGATTTTGATTTCCTTTTAAATTAATTCACATTCCTTAAGAGTGAAGGGGTTAACATTTTTCAGAATAAAAGAAGGAAAATAAGGTTTTATTCATAAGTGATATTAACCAAATTGCATGCTTAGTTTTATAGTAGAGACAAATATAAAAAATATACCAAAAGGGAAGTAATAGAGGGGAAAGAACATGGGAAGATGGACTAAGAGCACAGAGGAGTACAGAGGTGGGGAATAGGGTTTCTCAGTGTCTACACCCCCACACTTCTGCACACACGCACCCCACCTGTTCACACCTGGAGTCCATGTGGGTGATGTTGGGGGCATTGCTCCTTGACATCTTTGTCCTCAGGAGGTTAAAGCAGCATTCTGCACAATAAGAACAACCACTCTGTTCCCCAAGTGTTATTTTATTTTTTATTGCTTTATTAAGCAGGCTCCATGCGATGTGGGGCTTGGACTCACGACCCTGAGATCAAGACCTGAGCCGAGATCAAGAGTCAGACCCTTAACCATCTGAGCCATCTAGGTGCACCCCAAATGTTATTTTAAATAAGGTTTAATCTTCTGAATTTCTCAACCCATGGATTTATTTTTATAGGACACTGTACTTTCATAATACGTGTATTTTCAGGACATATATAAAATCCATTAAAAGCCCTAGTTACTCTCCCCCTGCCCTGACACAGATTTGTTTTCTAAAAGGACACAGACAGACAGACTAATGGTGCCCTTAGGGCTCTGGAGGAAGGCTGCACATCCCGATGGGGAAGCCTGGCCATATGCCTTCTCCGCAGCTCCTCAGCTACCCGTTGAGTCCAGCAGTGTCCTGTCCCCGGTTTACACGCAAGAAGCCCGAGTTCTCGGGGGGAGCAGGCCTGTCGAGTGACATGTGTAAGGTCTGAGAACACATGTCCCGGATCTCTGGTCCTTTCAGGCCCCCCAGAGCTCATCTTCACAAGTCAGAGGCCCCCGGATCAGGGGATGGAGCTGCCCTCACACTTCCCAGCCACCCCTGAGTGGTGCCCCCAGGCCCAGGAGCGGGATCCTCCCTTGTCCCTGGAAGGCCACATGAGCCCCTGGGGAGTGCTCAGAAACCAGGGGCCTTTGCCAAACAGCTCCTCTTGGAAGGAAAGAATTACATAGGAAAACAATCAGATTTTTCACCTGCAGGAACTTGAGAACATCTCTCTTGATGGTGATATGACGCACCACATTAGGACGGACACTGGCTTTGAAAAGGGGTCAGTGGCTAACGATGGTTAGAAGGACGGCGGCGCCTTCCAGAGCGTGAGGGAGGTTTCTCTGAGGCCTGAAGCCACAGCCTTCTTACAGGAAATGAGTTTCTGCTCGGAGCCCCTTGGCTGTTTTTCTTGAGGGTGACATGCTTTTCCTTGGTATGTATTGCAAATTCGAAAACAAAAATAGTTGCAAGAGCTGTTTAGTACATTGTATTAAATGCAGTGGCTTTTAATAGCATGCGGATTTTGACTATGTGGTAATGAAGGCTTGGATTTGGTTTATATCTCCCCAGTTTTAAAACCATCTAGCAAACAGTGAGTAGTGATGATGCTTCGTTTGCAAGCAGACGTGACTTGGTTGTACTTGCACGCTGGGTTTTGTTTTGGTTTTGGTTTTTTTTTTTTGTAAAGATTTTATTTATTTATTTGAGAGAGAGAGAATGAGAGAGAGAGAGCATGACAGGGAGGAGGGTCAGAGGCAGAAGCAGACCCCCCGCCGAGCAGGGAGCCCGATGCGGGACTCGATCCCGGGACTCCAGGATCATGACCTGAGCCGAAGGCAGTCGCTTAACCAACTGAGCCACCCAGGCGCCCACGCTGGGTTTTGTTTTGATCGGTGGTCAACATTCAGTGCCGACCATCTTGACATTTTGTGCACTCTGAGCGCTCCGCTGCTGGGGCCCACGCTCGCTCATGGAGCCACGTCCCACCCTGCAGCCTGGGGCCCGCGGGGGACAGAGCTGTGGCCCACAGCTGTGCTGCCCACTCGGGGACCTGGCTCCCCGTCTCCAGCACCCCGCGGCTCCCCGTGTCTCCACCACCCCACGGCTCCCCGTGTCTCCACCACCCCGCAGCCCCACCACCCCGTGGCTCCCCGTTTCCCCCACCCCGCGGCTCCCCGTGTCTCCACCACCCCGCGGCTCCCTGTGTCTCCACCACCCCGTGGCTCCCTGTGTCTCCACCACCCTGCGGCTCCACCACCCCGCGGCTCCCCGTTTCCCCCACCCCGCGGCTCCCCATGTCTCCAGCACCCCGCGGCTCCCCATGTCTCCAGCACCCCGCGGCTCCCTGTGTCTCCACCACCCCGCGGCTCCACCACCCCATGGCTCCCGGCTGGAAGCAGCAGGGCAGTGACTTCTGAAAGTGGGGCTCGCTGAGACATGGCCCTACTGGTATGATGTGCCTTCTTGCAGTGATGTTTCCGGAAATTCAGAGAATGACTCCTCTGTATTGCAGTTAAATCGGGCGAGGGTTTGGTTTTTGTCAGAGGCGGTGGTGAGCATGGTGGGCCCAGTGTTGTAAGTACGGGGAGGGCCCCCGATGGCCTGGCCCACCGCTGGATAGCCGCCTTGCGCAGGTGGCGTCCCTGCCTTGTGGGGTCGGGGTCGTGGGACCCCCCCCCGCCCCAGGGCACCGGCCTGGCCACATCCCACCCTCCCCTCCAGTTAGGAGTGCCATACAGCATAGCTCTGTCCGCAAAGACCATGCAGACACAGGAGGCCACCTCCCCACCAACCGCCAGCCTAAAGAGACAGGAAGAAAGACTCACTAGGATGTAACCCTTCCTTCCAGAGTCTGATCTGGAAACCTAGAAGCAAAACGCACACAGAAACACCTCCCTGCATCTGTTTAGATGGCTGGGGGGGGCACGAGTGGCGTGGTGGCAGGCTAGCCAACTCCCCACCAAAGCGTCTGGCACGGCCGGCCAGCCCGACGCCGTGTCTTCTCACGAAGCTGTGGGACAGGACGGGCGCCTGTTTGCCCTGAGGTGGTCTGCCTGCTCCCTGTGGCCCCCTGTCCTGCTTCTTTACAAGCCTGCTCATTCCCAGGTTGTCTGTCTCCAAGATGCCCACCTTCCCTGCTCAGCTTTTAGCAATAGTGGCTCTGATCTCTGTTTTGGGAGCATTTTGCTTACAAGGTGCTTAAATGTTCCATCACGCATGTGTGTTCTGGGAAACTTAAAATATAGTTTACGTGCCTTGGTGTCATCGACATAGAGTGTGGGGCTCGTATCTGTTGCATCCACAGATGGATGAGTTCTGCTGAACCTAATCATCATCGTACAGCTGATGCATAGCAGGGTCTGGACTTTATAGAAGGAATACGCCCGAGTCTGTTCTTTATCAGTTCAAAGAATGTGGGACATGATTTATTTGGCTTACTGTGCAGCCGTAGAAGATCAGATAAATTAAAGCAGGAATTTAATAAAATAAATATGATGCTTATATTTTAGGACCTAGGTTTCTGTTTGTGTCTGTGTGTGTGTGCGTGTGTGTGGGGGGGTGTTGTGGGGGTGCTCTGGTTTTTATTCTGGTTCTTGTGGTGTCTGAAAATGTAATAACCTTGGAATAGAGGAGACCAAGGATTTATGAAGTGTGAACACCAGCTGCACTTGTCTTCCCAGAAATATAAAGAGGATAAATCAAATGTCAGAGGCAGGCAGAATGCATCTGCAGCTTCCATACATCATGTTATATTGCTCTCTGAAAGGTGGTATCGTCCCAAAAGGAAGATGATGATTCTTTTATTCTGTCATTATTTCCATATGTCAGGACTTACTTTGGAAGAGAGAGGGATTTAAACCAGATATTGAGAGCTGACCTTATTTATTCCTGACTGGTGGTGGGGAATTGTCTTGTGAAGGGAGACGGAAGTGCGCAGACCTGGCAGAAAACTTCCTGAAAATGCAGGGAAATGTCACGGTTAAAGCCACATTAGGTAACAGTCCTAACGCTAAATGGAAATATAAATATACA